ACACCAACTGGGACAAGGTCTTCGTCCAACTACCGGAATTGGAAGGATGGAAGAAGGTCTCTACAGCTTGTATAAGGCCCTCAAGCTGAGTAAGTACTGATTCCTCGGCTTCAAGGCAAGCGGGCGAGAGTGACATCACAATCCATCGAGCAATGTGATGAGCAACAGGGTGCTTCCGAGTGTCTCGATCCAGCATTATTCCCAGCCCGGAAGAGATGTCCACAAGAGCGCTGTAAGGCGATGTGGACTGCCCGACCGGAATTTCCAGTAGCCGGAGGATAGCCGTGAAGATGAGCGATGACTGTTCCTTGGTGAATAAGCCATACTCTGAGAAGGGTATATTGCCAGCAGGCAATGAATCTCGAGCTAGACGAGACAGATAATCAAGGTAGGTAATGTCAAATGTCTTCGAACGGCTCACAAGCGACCAGAGATGGAAATGAGTAGGGAGGTAATGATGCGGAAGAAGATCCTCTCTGGATTCGGGCGGGGGAGAAGTAGGAAGAAGGAGATTGATCAACCCAACGACGACAAAGGCGCCTTCCGAGAAGGACGTAGTGTAATGGGGAAGGAACTCTTCCAGCATAGCTGGCAGCTCACATGGGTCGATATACAATTGAACGAAGGCGCAGAGCTTTGTCAATGTCTTTACATTGCGCTTCAAGTTAGTTGAATGCACAAGCCCAGACTCCGTCGGTAGCACGAATGACTTCAATTCTCTGTATAGCGGTCTCCAATCTAGTGTTAAATCTTTGACTGGTCTGAGATAATGCTTGCGCCTGTAGCACAAAAGTTAGTTCCGAGGCCTTCGAGCGACGAAAGTAGCGGGCGCACTTACTTGGTAAGGAGCATGAACATGCTTGCGAACCGCTCTGAAACATTAGGGTCGATTCCAGGAGCGAGTGACAGCTCATAGTACAGCTTGACAAGATTGATCCGCTCGCTTCGAGTCGGATCAAACTTGAGTGACAGCCATCCTCTGAGCTCTCGCGTCCAATGCACTGCACCAGGACTGAAGTCACCAGCCTCCACCGCGATATACAGCTGCTTTAGAATCTCTCGCAGGTTGCGCTGCCTTTCCGATTCGTCTTCCGGCGTGTATGGTAGGTATTTAAAGTATGGGTATGTGCGAGGCCGGACCCGTGCCTTGGGCTCGCCCTCTCCGTTTAAGGCGACAGGCTCACCTCCGGGAGAGGTAGCTCGCGATATCTCGTGAACATTTTGGAAGTTATCGGATGTGAGAATGGCCTTAGGACCTGATTGATCCATCGTCGAGCGATCAGTCCGGCGATTACTGGGGTACAGAGGTTGGGAACGTGGGAGGAGGTTCGGGGGGACTCTGCGGACCGCGGTGTGTTAGCTAGCTTTATCCTGACCGACTGAAATGGTGTGTGTGGCAATGGACGGAGTCGCACCTTAAACATGAAGGTTGGAAGCAAATTCTAAGCTGCAGATATCGATGCCCAAACAGTGATCTGCTATCAGTCTTCGCATAGGCGATTTACTAAGACTTGGCTAACGAGGCGACCAGGAATGTCAAAGGCGCCAGACTGCACAAGATGGAAGACCCCAAGTAAGGTGTCAGGTATCACTTGTATGAGATGCGAATTTGGCCAGGAAAGCTTTCTTGCACAGAATTACGCTCGGGGTTGAGATAAACTCGAGCTCAGACGTAGCAATCCGACGGTGGAGGTGTCCGTCAAGTGAATCTGGCTCAGTTTTGTAGGATCGGTGATGACATAATTCCACGTAACGGCCGCAGCCTAATTGGGCCCCGTCTCCAGAACAACCACCGAGTGGTTTGCGCCGCGGCGAGGCAAGTTCTACCTACGGTATATACTGAGATAGACTTTTTGGAGATGAATTCATTCGCCGGTAAGTGGAATTTACATCCTACAAATTTGCAGGCAAGAGTAGTCTTGAAATGTGGGATGGAGGATGTAAGACTCGATGTTCGAGGCCATCTCTAAATGGTTCGCCACACCTGATTACACGAGAGACCCTTTGACCGGGGAAAAAGGGGGGTAAATTAAACAGGTAATGGTACTTTCTTATATTATGAGTTATATTATCCTTCATATACCCTGTTATAGACTTGCGATTGGATCACGCGGGCGGGAGGAAAGACCCGAACAGAATGGCCTGGATCAGTGCATAGGCGACCATGCCCCGCACAGCCACAGTAAAGGTGCGGCTGTCTTGTAGGGAAGGTCGGGTTTGCCCCCAGTTGCCCGATACCAAATATACGAGATACCAGTACCATAGTGGATATCCTGAAGATATCCTATTGATTATCTGAACATGGTAAGAGGTCAAAGCCATGACCGCAAGCAATCCTTGCGGTACAGCTAGTCGGAGGAGCAGGGAGGCAGTCGTGGCTGACGACGACGCTTGGTCCACTCCGCTCAAAGCTCTCGGAAAGATGAAGGGCACTGCCACATCCAGTGCCCATAGCGACGACCGGCTAAGTATGGCCAGCATCGGCATTGCCAGCAAGAAAAGTGGGATATTGGACACGGTCCAATACCGAAGAAATCCTACATTCCTGTTATTCAAGTTAGTAGTGCGTTCTGCGGTGCTAGTCAACCATCCCAACGTACCAGTAATGTCCTTGAACCCAGCGATAGATACTGGGGACAAGCCATTGACACCAAGGGCGTGACGCATCGGCGTCCACACAGTATGTGGTATAGGCCACAGTTTGGGGAACGACAAGTCCCAGGGCAATGACACAGCCACTGATGATGATAACGGAGAGATGGGCACAGGCATCGATGGATAACCTTTGGCACCAAACCCGCCGAAGCTGCAAGAGAGCATCATAAGCATATAGAATACCACTTAAGATCCCATTACTGCGAACTGCAGTGGCTGCTGAAAACAGGATCGCAGCTACAAACAGTTTCACGTCGCCGGAGAGACGCTTCCCCGCCTTGTTATCGAGGAAGGAGGACGAGTAGACATAGAACCCTGTAATGTTGAGCAAAGAAAACAAAGACTCCCCATAGGGCGCGGAAAGAAATGCTCCTGCAGGACAAATGATGTGCAGAAATGCCGAAAGAAAGCAGATTAGTCTCTGGGTGGCCGTGTCACGGCCGAATACGTTGACAGAGAGTCTATACAAGGCTAAGACTGCGAGATAATGGGCAACATGAGACAGAGCAGTCGCCACGACAGCGGTCCTGGCAGCTCCACTAGGGCCGATTAATCGGTGCAATGCTACATCCACAATTAGTGCTCGAATAACACAGCAATACACTTTCGATGAGGAAGACAGGTAGATCTACCAGTGGCAATATAGGCAAGGACTCTAGTGTACCCGTAGCCGAACGCCCACTCTTGCTCAAAGAGGTAGCCATTTTCGGCGATATGCAAGAAGTAAATGGAATCCCAGCGGACGAACTTGAGTGGGATGGGAAGGTGCGCATAGGTGATGTCTTCTGAGGTGACATCAGGGCGACTGTGGCTATGGTAGAGATGGCTTGTGGAAGTGTCGTAGCCAAGGCCAGGGCAACTGATGATGACCAGATATACTAGAGCCTTCCAGAGACAGAAAGCTACCGTTAACGCCTTGATGGGCTGGCGGGGATTTAGAAGACTCGGGCGACTCGTCGCTGGAGAGCTCACGGAGGAGCTCATGGTCACCAGGCAGAGTACTTAGGTGTGTAATTTTCAATAGTTCTGTGTAGCTACCAGATTTGCAAACATCGTAAGATGATTGTCAAAAACGATAATTGGTCGCCCAGGAGGATCCCATTCGCCCGTTCACCATAGATCGAAGAGGGATTTTTTGATCAGCCCGACATAATCATGACAAAGAAACCGAGGTAAAGCTAAAGGGGATCTGAAGAAGGCAAGACGCGTCGAAGCTCACCAGACGGGATGACGGACTGGATTTGATCGGTCGGAATCCTCGGCACGCATAAATCCTTCTTATTCAGCATCCACCGATGCACAACTACGTAATATTTGTGGACGGTGAGGGGACCAAATGAAACCATGACGGTTTGAGTCTCCATACCAGAAAGTACTTAGTGGCAAGTGTTGTGGAAACCCGGTCGTTTGGTACACTGCTCTGAAGAAGAGTTTTCATTTGATAGCAATAAACATTTGATTCGATCTAACTATTTTACATAGTACGTAGTACAAATAACCAACTAGTTAATTGTTTAGCCTGAGTATAGTCATCCTACACTCTAGAGATACATCATAACTAGTTGGAAGGGATGATGATAATGATGATGATGTCAGACCACTTTGCCTCTCCGCATTGGCGAAGTTTTCAGTTACCTGCTCAGGTAGTATTATTCAGAACAGTCAGTTGACAGGGTCCAGTAGCCATCGACTGTTCTGGATTGGGTGAACAGGTCATTCATCCTTGGATCATCCCGCCGAATCCGCGGACAGGTCAGCCCTACGGCGCGCTCGGAACTGATGGAGCCCGACTGCTTCAGTTCCAGTAATCCTTATTCAAATCTGCTGCAGGCTCACATGACGGAGAATGCCCGAAGCCTTCGGTATGGTAGGAACTAGATAAGACCATCCCCGTCGGCGTTAAGAGATTATCCTAGCGCCATCGTGCCAACGGCGACAAGACAAACCTAGACGCCGACAAGCGCTAGTAGGAAATTCATTAAGATGATTAGCTACATTGGATCGAGTTAAACCCGCCTACTCATTATCGAGGTTTGGGGGTGACTTGGAAAAGGAAGAACCGGCTATTCCAGTTCCAGAACGTTATGGTATTTTCGCACTGAATTATGAATGTCGCTGCTAGTATACTGTAGACTACCAGTGCTAGTCAAAGTATGTACGTCCAGAGTAGTGCAACAACGAACATAGTGCCATCGTTCTGCGAGGAGCGCTTGATACAGGGCACACTGGCACCTACTTACTGGTATGTAGTGGTGGGTATAGCTAGTTGTGGTTTTACTAATTAGGCTCAGCTGAACGGACGAACGAAGTATCCATCACGTACTCCATCCAGCATTGCCCCGGGTGGCATCTAAAGTGGTGTCCTCTCCTTTCTTACTACTTCGAAGTCGCCCGGGCCTCAGTCCAATGTACCATAGTAGTCGATAAATCATGCGGTGTCCCTGAAGCTTGAAAGGGCAGCCGTGCGTTTCTTTGTCACCCACTTCATCACAGTAGTAGTACCTTGCCGTGGGACGCCTGTGTACTTTCAAAAATATAGTTCCAATAGATTTTCGTACAATTAAGCCGAGAAGGCAGCTGACCAGCTAAACTTTCTCCATAACTATGCCGTTCTCAGCCTCGCCCTCAGCAGCTAGCGACTTTAATTTTCTCATGCAAGATAGGAGGGTCCGCGATGGAAACGTTACAAAACGAAAGAGAAAAGTTTGCCATCTGGTCCCCGCCAGAACCAGACCCCTCGTTTGCTAGATCGTAATGCCAAGCCCGACCCAGGGAGTCATTCGGTCGGATTCCCTTGGGGAAACAACGAGGCATTTCAGGATGGCATTTGACACTGCCAAGTAGTCTCAGGATCAGTAATACGAAAGGTAAGCTTAGCTGGACAAGGCTTAGATGGTTACCAGACAGTAGGTCAGAAGATAGTATATTTGGCACTGCAGTGTTGGGCAAGGGGGCAGAAAGTAAAGTCTCATGGCACCAACGATCTGATCTACCTTTTCCAGCTAGACTATTTAGTAGGTGAAAGGAGGACGAGTGTGATTACTGTGCTTTAGTCCTAATTCAGCCTTACGCTGGTCTCCGTCACCGGTGGCACTGAGTCAGCGCCGTGTCTGCCTCAAATTTGCAGACCCAGCGATCCAAACTCTTTTTTGCTTGCTGCCTCTAAAATCCGACATCCGGTCCCATGGCACGGTGCGGACCTTACCGGCAAGTCGGAGCTTCCGGTTCCGTTGCAGCAAATGTCCAAAGCCCGAGTTCCGCGGGGTCACCGCGATGGAGGTTGTATTGCTCTCCCCGAAGTATATTGACATAGCATCGCGGCAAAGAACAACTACGATACTAGAGCCTGACTGAACTAAGATACTTAAACTTGTTTGTGTCTGGTAGGGACGTAGTCTGAGGTAAGTAAGGTAAAGCATGTATGAGGGTGGGTATTGCTGATTACACCACAGGACATAACATGCTCAAGCAGAAAGTATGTATGCATAGCAGCGGCATGGTTTCTTCCTCTCTATTACCTAATCTCGATTGCATAAATTCAGCTCCGATGCTCCGAAAAGCTATTATTGTCGGTCAACGGGTCGGTCAAGCTATTAATCTCCAATTCTTGACTGTACGTAGTACAGTAAATGCTAAATAGTCCTGCTCCATGGAAGCATTAGGATGATCTTCGTTATAATAATAGGAACAATTTATTAATTAACGAATCTATTAATTCTGCAGGGCAGAGTTCATACTTTGCACTTACTGTGCTGTAGTAATCATCCTCACTGATTTGATACGGGCCAAGCAATACGAGATGATTACGATGCAGCCAATAAACCGCCGATGGGGGTTGCCATCCAATGAAGATATGTTAGTGTCGGCGTCTGGTTAGTTCCGAGAGAGAGGATCGTCGGCTAGCTGCTTGGGGCCATGGATGCGAGCTGCCGGCCATGGATGGCCAGGACCCAGTTCATGCAACGAGACCAGACGACCCAGCCTGTTCCTAGAAAGTAGAAACATTATTTTGTAAATTCTCGCGATTTGGCTTGGCTGACTGGCTCTTAATTGTAGATCGGGGGGGGGAGACCTGCCGATGGTCCCGATGGACAGCCCAGCAGACAACCCCATCGCTGTGAGGGCGTAAGGGTACGTAGTAGTAATAGTAGTATACGCAGACCAGACTCGCAAAGAAGGCACTAAGGGGAAGAACAGCCCCCCAGCGGGATCTTGACCAAATGTGACCTACTAAACCGTCATTGTCACTTCTGGTTCCATGTGGGTTCCTTTTACTGTAATTTTTGCTTTTCCTTTTTTTACACTTATTTTTTTTTTTTCTTTTCTTTTTCCACATTGACCCTCCCCCATTTATTTAGTTCAGGTCAAGAAGCATGATGGATGATTCTTATTTATGACTATTTGCCCACCAAATTCATGGTGGGATCTTGACCGCCATCTTTTTCGCCCCCTCTAATCGATGATCCATCGATCCCATCTGAGTCTGACATGCGATTCGTATTCTTTTTCATTTCCTCACTCATCTGAAAGTCTGAATATTAAGGCGCTTCTGGACCCCCTAACCCACACTGTCCGGCCTCCCTTACATACTTCCGCCCACTCTTTGCTCTTTTCTACTCCAATGTCCACGTCGTACGACATCTGAACTTCCCTATTCATCCATCTATCCGGGTTGCCTCCTGCGCTGACCTCAATCCCCTCATTCGACAAATCTACATCTGCAGCTTCAGCCTTATTTTAGGTGGAGGGGTTGATAATTGCCGTGCAGGTCACGCTCATTCTATTTACTACTTACTATACTTACTTTCCATTAATCCTCCCCCTTCCTTGTCTTCTCGTCATATTCTCTCTTACTACTACCGCCACCATCTTTCCCTGACCCGGGTCTTTTTCTTGTCTTTGTTCTCTTGCCTTCCATTGCTCAGAATTATTCAGCATATCTCTCTGGCACAACGAGGTTATAAAACAGCAAACGACGGCAACTTGTTAACTAGCTGGATCGGCTTAGGCTGACGTATTCTGTCAGCCACAGCCACCCCCGTCACTGTCATCATAGTTAATCCCCGTCACTGCCACTGATCTTCGCCGTCAATGTTGATCGGGGAAAATTGAACAAACGTTGTCGCATCCCCAGAAATAATGCTATTCAACCTTGGCTTGACAGCGGATGCGGCAGCAGCTCACGAAAACGACTACCCCGGGTTACCATCGGAAACCCAGATCCCTAGCCCGACGCGTCATTCGTCCCCGGCAATCTCATTCGCTTCCCTGCCATCGTGGGGACTAGGCAGCATCTATAACCGGCGCAAACCCACGGAACCCGAAATGACGCAGCGTACAATGTCGCGGAAAGTTACTATTGATACACTATCCTCGAGCGATGACGAGCGTTCGACAGTCACCCCAGTCCTAGCTCCATCAAGGATCGCCCGTTCGCAATCAGTTCGGAAACAATCGTCGCGCCCTAAAACGTCATACCAGCTAGCGCATCCCGCGGCCCACGCACGCCATAGGCGATTAAAGCTCCGACCTAAGCTTCTCCTGCAGCTTCAACGTGTGTCGCAAACCCCACGACCTCTGCCACTTTTGGATGTGCTCCCCTCCACTGTGTTTCTGCCGCCTCTAGCTCGCAAGTTTCCGACGATATTCCGCGGTAAAAAGGGACTAGGCCCCAATGACCTCATTGTCGTAACTAGTGACCTTTATGAGCGGGCGCCGGGCGATAATGGAGATAGGTCTTTAAGCTCCGATGATGAAGGCGGAGAACAACGTGAGGTGGTCGCAACGATATGTCAGCTCTTTAGGGATGACGCTTTATCTAAAGGAAAGGCGGAGATTTGTTTGAACCATGGGCCAGTTTGGGAAGCCACGCCTCTTGCCAATGGCTCCTACGAATTCGTGGCCAACACGGATGATGGTATCCAGATACTGCGGTGGGTTCTGAGAGGTGGGAAGAATCGTCGCGTGTCGGCGCCCCCGGGCTTCTCGCAAGAGGAGAGCAAGCGGTTTACGTTCAGCGTGATCAATCCCAGCACTCGTCGTCACCCTGTTGTTGGTACGATGACACGCAATTACCTCGAGGTGTATGATGAGTACTCAATTCCGACAACACCGGGTATTGCTGGCTCACCAACCTCCGCCATGTCCGTGTTGAGCGACTACTCCGAAATGGATGACCCGTTGGATCGGAAGGTTCTGAAAACCGACAGTGACCTCCGCATGCTGATCATTATCACCAGCATATGGGTAGCTTTTAGGGAAGGCTGGTCTCACAACTTCACTTACGACGACTCGGCCATGGCAATCAACTCCAAGACAATGTGTCCGTCGAGACACAGCTCGCCAACTGCAATTCGAAGCGAGACTGACAGAACCGAGAGGGAAGATGGCCACGATGATGTTCCCCCGTTGAATGGCCGAAGACATCGTCTCTCGACGTCCAGCTATGTCCCTTCACAATCTACGATGGCCGACCGATCAACGACCTTTGGAAGCTTATCGAGACGATCCAACTCAACTGGTGCGGCTTTTATCGAGCGGACTAACCGACGTGCTTCGGGTAGCAACGGTCGTCTTAACCGACACAGTACACTCTCCAGTCCTCGTGAACAGAGACAGGACCAAGCTGTCGATGCCACACCTGCCCGACAGGACTCCAAAAGTCGCAGGTTATGGTCCCACAGAAAATCTGACGTCCAAGATTTCAAGACAACGGCTCCCCCTGATCAAGCGATAGACCGATCCAAGGGATTCGATAACAACCAGTCACGCCAAGCCGATACCTTTCGCGACAAAGGCATTGACTCTCCCGTAGACTCGGCACCGAGTAAGGGAAAGCGTCGGCATCGGATTAGCAACCTCTTCGATTATATCATCCGCAAAACCGGACATCATCATTGAGCCAAGCCTGGAGCTTAATATCACATACCCCATTCAATGTTCTTTTGCTCTGCACAGTTGTCTTCTCTTTTTATCTCCCTCTTGCAGAGGTGAGCACACCTCTCGATGTCATCCAAGACACTACAATAGTGACACGAAAGCCTGGAGCTGCGGTTGTATTGTATGCAAGCGGATGGCAGGGCCTCATGTTGTGAGGCCAAAGCTACCGTTACTCCTTATCGCACTGGGTGTCTGGCATTTCTCTCCCACTTCCCAACCTTGCATGAGACTTGTCTCCGCACATCATCATCTCTCAGCTCTTCTGAACTTACCAGCGATATGAATACCACGACATATATCTGATAGCGCTCCTTTTTATAACATTCTTATCTCCTTCCTTACTGATTCTCTATTCTGGCATTGCCATCAGCATCAGCATCACCTTCCTGTCCGTGCATATGTACAAACTTAGGTCCGCAGCATTGATTGCTTCCGGAAACATACAGGTACTTCTTGAAATGGGTATTTTGTAGAGTAGGTACAAAGATCTTGAAAAAATACATATATTTGGCACGCAGAGCACGGCTTCGTTGAATTTGTAGTATACACACGTATTAGAGAAAAGTTACCTTCCAGCTAGTAGGAACGTAGTGGGATTAGTTTCCGAAGGATTGCAGAGCACCTAGTAGTACGATTGGTTAGTGGGGTTTATAGCTGTGAGCGATCAGCCTAACAGAGGGGGCACAAGGCTTGTTCACCAATCCTGTCGATCGCTGATATAATACTCAAGCGCATGAAGACGACGAGTTCCTTCGTCCTCTCTGTTAATGGTAATTAGATGTCATATTAGAGCTCATTTGAGTGACTGAACAATACGATGTTAGGAAAGTATAGAATGACATTTTGTTTGTATAGATGATCATTGTGCTCAATTTATTCTTTACCGCTCCAGAGCAGTGATAGCCTTAGGGATGTAAGGCTCCTCCAGGTATTTGATTTCCTCATCGGTCAACTTGACCTTGGTACCGGCCACAGCCTCGTCAATGCGCTCCTTGCTGTTGAGTCCAAGAATAGGGTTCTCATTGGGATGGCTCAGCGACCAAGCGATGGCCACCTGGGCCATACTGACACCCTTCTTCTTCGCGATCTCTTCGACACGATCGACGATAGCCTTGTCGGATTCTGTCTCGCGGCTGCGGATGAGGAACTTGAGTGCCCCGTCTGTTGCTTCACGCACAGTAGAGCGAGAGCCCCAGGGGCGGGTCAGCACACCACGAGCCATGGGCGACCAGGGGATCAGGCCCACGCCGGTGTCACGGCAGTACGGGATCATCTCGCGCTCCTCTTCTCTGGCGATCAGGTTGTGGTAGTTCTGCATGGAAATGAACCGGTGCCAGCCATTGCGGGCGGCGATGTTCTGGAGAGTCTGGAATTCCCATGCAGCCATCTGGATAGGCGTAAGCATGTGTCGCTGGATAAAGAGGGAATAAAAGAGACGTACCGTGCTGGCTCCGATGTATCGGACCTTGCCACTTTCAACTACGTCGTTGAGAGCCCGCATGATTTCCTCGCGGGGGGTATCACGATCCAGCCGGTGGATCTGCAGCACGTCGATGTATGTTCCCAGTCTCTCGACACTGGCATCAACGGCGTCGAAGATGTGTTTGCGGGACAGGCCAACCCGGTTGACGAAATCGCCGTCGTTAACACCGGAAGAAGAAATCGGAGGGAAGTTACCTTGGTCGTCCACACCGAAGTAGCACTTGGTGAGGATGACAACCCGGTTACGGGGAATAGAGAACTTCTTCAGGGCTTTGCCAATGATTTCCTCAGAGCGGCCGTGGGAGTAGACGTCGGCCTGGAAGCTAGTTAACACTATGTCAGGGCAATAAAAAGGTAGAGGCTTGAATGTACCGTATCCCAAGTGTTGATTCCACGCTTGTAGGCATGCTCAATCAAAGGAAGAGCCTCCTCCTCGTCGAGTACCCAATCTTGCCACTGCTTGGCACCATAGGACATGGCGCCCAGAATAATTTTAGAGATCTTTAGTCCCGAGTTTCCCAGGCTACATGTCAATTTGTTAGCTAGAGTATGTATAGGGCGAGTATTGCAATCGGGAAGACATACCGGACGTATTCCATCTCATTGTTGGCAGCCATGGTGGATGTATACAAATAACTGCAACGCCATGGTTAGCTATGATGTTACCTCCACAAGCATGCGGAAAGATGCGGGAAGGTGGTGAGATGTGGGAGTCACCTACAACTGAATTTATAAGGGACTAATTGGTGTAGCAAAGTGATGTAGAAGAATTTACGATAGAATTGAGTATCTTGATGGGACTGCAAGCAGCTTATCAGTACTTTGCAGCTACCACTAACTGAAGTTCAAAGGGACGAGCTAGCTAGCTAGTTCAGTCGAGTTGCCGAAGCATAATAAACCCAGCGCAACCTGGTTGACCCCATTATTAAGCTTCCCCACCGAACTGCCGAAAGTGCGAAGCGATGATTGCCAGAGCCGATGAGTTACCGACAGCCCTTTCTCGGGTTGAGCTGCGCTGGACCCATCGGTCCAGAGGATCGGGAAGCTTATGCGGGGTTGACCATGAAGATCATCCATTTATGTGGTACTCCGTAAAGTGCCAGTGTATGTACTGAAGAGAATAGGGAAGATTCAGCAGAGAAATACACAGCAGACTGGAAGTTGAAGGGAATCAATGACTTTTTCTCAGTCTCAATCATACAGAAGAAAAGGGAAGGAGGGGTAGCCAAGGAGGGGATCCCGTGATCCACGTCTTCGCTTGTTTGGCTTCGCTTCTTCCTCTTCCTCTTCCTCTTCCTCCTCCTCATCTCTCTCTGTCTCTCCACATGGCGACCCCTCTACTGTTCGATCTTCTCTGCTTTTCGCCTCAATCACGGCACTACCTTCTTCTCCTTCAATTGAATGCACTGCTGCAGCATGTGCCTTATGGCAATCGGCATCGCCGTCTCGTCTACATCAGTAGGCAGCGATCTCCTGATAGGATAAAATGGTCGAGCCAATCTAGGCACACGCCAACCCCTGAGGAAGCCACAACAAAGTCACGGTTCTTCACTTGGAAAGCAGAGGAATAAGACCCCGGGGTAGGATCCCGTTCGAGCAAGGCAACCCCGCCAATGAACGGTGTTGGTGGCGGTGGCGCCAGCCACTGCCTTAAGAATCACTGGTTTTCTGGGGAAAGACTCGTCCGAAGTGACTGTCAGGCGACTGAAGGCTGCATATTGACAAGAACTGGAACAGTCCTGGCCTCTGTACAACGATCAATGAACCGTTCTGCACGTGGTGCGGGTATTACAGAGTATCTGACTCGGCTGCAGCCCTGGCTGAGCTGCCTGTTCCATACGAAACCCGGACAGGCATTAGCATCAAGGGCTGGCTGAACGGTACGTCGTGGGGCTATGCGCTCTAGAGCCAAGCACTGTATGTCATGGTCGAACAGTCCGGACATCCCGGCAGCTCCGAAGGAAAACTAGTAGAAATTCCCGAGCTGGGTCTGATCGCAGCCTGTCGAACGTCGACTTTGCTCATGTCGCTGCTCGTCAGTGGTTTTTCAGCTGGCTTCTGCAGAACACTTGCTGCATGCAATTTTCAAGCACCTAATGCATTACCCAATACCTGCAGTCGGTCGATCTTGGCAGTTCCGAGAGCAGTCGAGACAGTTCCCACCCAGAGCAGCCTGACGCCAAGAGACAATCAACGGTACATGAAGTTTAAGACATCTAGGTGTAGATCATACTGGTCCAGAGCACTATGGCGAGAAAATTGCTGTTCACCGCTGAAGTGTCGGGTGAACATCGTTCCTCTCACAGAGTGATCCTTTTGCATACATGTGGCTTCCAGGATGCGCAAACTACCATGGGTGTGTATACCTGATTACTTCTCTGACCATGCTGATTGGAGATGCGTTATTTTCATGTACTTCGACAGCCATCACCGGCAAAACCTCACTGGACAGTCTATATCCAAGAAACATGCAGGCCAGACTCTCTGTCTATCATATTTTAGCACGGCGTCGTGATTTAGCGTCAAAGTAAACGAGTGCATCTATATGGCCAACGGCTTTGATTTCTGCAAGCACCCATCGTTCTCTATTGTTCTCAAAATGTACAGGGCCTCTAACCGCATATGACCACAAATGATGACCAGTAGCAAAAATAGCCGATGAGAGACGGGACTTATGGAGGATTAGTGTCAGCTCCTGGATGGGTTGACACCCACTAGCATTATGTCAATGCCTACAACTTCTCACCTTGGAGATGAAAATGTGGCTAGCTGGGCTGTGTACTCCAGAGTCATGCTTTGCAAAGATGAAGATACCCATCGCAAGCATTTCCGCAGCGCAAGGCCGGATTCATGCCCAATGAAGACACCAGACTTGCTATTGTGAGATCCGAGTGTTCAAGGACAGCTGAAAAATGTGATTCATCGTGCAGATGGCAGTTCGTAGCGAAGTTTCCACTCGACATACAGGCCTGAGAGAGGAATTGCTCGAAGGGTTGGCTCGAAGTGACTGTGCTATCACCAAGTTCGAACCGCTCGAAGCACCTGAGAACAGATCTCGGAGCTGAATGTCAATTCTCAGTAGTTTCCCAGTCGCGAAAACTATATAAGCAACGCAGATTCCTCTCTAGGTCTTCTCCTCAGCACCATCACCAACTCAGCTCGCAAAGCAAGCAACGACAAGAACTACCTCTTGACCATACTCTTTCATTTTGAAAGGAACACAATCTTGAAATGTCTACCGTTGTGACTACCGCTCCTCCTGTCCAGACCATGTCTCTCCAGGCAGTCTCGCAGTCGGGCTCTTCGGACGAAGAGCTCTTGCAGCTTTTCCGCCGAGTGACTATCACCAGCTCTGACGGCCATGATGTGTCTGAGATGCAAATCAAGAAGGCCTTCCAGCAGGAGATCAGCCGGCCCTTGGGCCGACAGATGCTGGAGGCATCCTTGGCGCACGCGAATGGCTGCTCTTGCTATCACTGGAACTACCATGACCGCATCAGTGGAAAAGTCAACATCTCTCGGGTTGACTTGACTTTTGACTTGACTTCAAAGAGCATGGGACAGGCCGTGAAGGGTGAAGCTGCTGGCTTCTACAGGCCTAACAGTGCTTATATCAAGTAAGTCATGTCTTTCTTTATACAAAACAACACTTTCTAACAGCCAGCAGTGCAACCGTCTACTATGACGACCAGCAATACCTCCAGGGCAATCAGAGCGTCCAGATCTACATGGATGGAAGCGTGCGCAGTCCCACTCCCACTTCATATATCGGTCTCAAGGCATGCTGCTAACCCGCAACCAGAAATTCATCATCGACTTCTTCACCACCGACCAGTCGGAGAAGCCAATTGCGCGTATCGTTCAGAACGCCTCGTCCTTTACCTTCCAGGGCACTGACACTGGTGACGCCACCTGGGGTACTAACTAGTGGCTGATTCGATGACCGCCGGGAAGAGCCATTTGGCATCTATGGCAATCAATTTGGAGCTGACAGGGTGTGATGCGGATCACGATGGAGATGGTGATGATTAAGTTTCGGGTCTAGTCTTGTCTTCGTTTTTGCTTTTTGAGTCATTCCTTAGTTGCTTTTTTTGTCTACTCTTGCTTGTTAGGAGGAATAAGATTGATCCGCATAGAACTATGTGCAATGTAAATCCGTGAAAACCCTTCAATGTAGCTAAACACCTCACCAGGCAGACCCTTCACCTGCTCCCAGTGCCTCCCTTCTCGGCCCTCCCTGTTGTCCCTGACTCCGAGCCCATGTAAAGACACCAAACAATCCCATACATCTTCCATAAATTGGTAAAGAGTATACCCGAGTCTCTTTACATTCAGTAACGTACTAGAGGTCTTAATGGGACTGATTCCTTCCATTAAAACAAATTTTACGTGCACCAGGAAAACATATAAACTGGTTCATAATCCATTGAAGAGAAAGGAGACATCCTCTACCTCTAACCAACCCATCCACCCCATATACAGTGTCCTTTCTATACATCTCTTTTTTTAACTTTCCCATCAACCTGAATTCATACAAGAACTTTTTATGTCACCCGAGAAAGATAAAAGAAAAGGTCATAAACTCATACAATGTACCACACAAATCAAACGACCCACATAACCCCAAGTGTAAAAGAAAAAAGGAAACCGATATAGCAAAGCACGCTAGACTGTGACAAACTTATATGTATAAGATCTAAGAGGAACCGCCACGACCACCAACGTTCGACAAGGCCTTCTTCTGATCCTCGCTCAGTTGGGTCGTAGGCAGAGGCCGAGCTGCGGTCGAGGCAGCAGATGGGGGAGGAAGGAATCCGGTCTGAACGAGGTAAGAGGCGTACAGGCCGACCAGCTCCTCGGTGACGCCGGCGCCGGCGGAGGCGTCGATGCCGGACCAGGCGGCGTCGGCACGGAGGGAGGCGGCAGCGTTGACGTCGTCCAGTTCGGGGGCCTTGGTGTTGGAGGGGAGGTCGGAGGTGACGAAGTGGTAGAGGGGCATGCTGGGATCGGATGTTAGGATTGTAGTGGATAGTTTGGGTAGGGTGGGAACTTACAGTGCGTGCTGGGACTCGGGGTCGTCGTGCTGCCCGTCATTGACGTACTGCTCCAGGGACTTGGACCAGGGGACGTAGTCAACCTGAGGGACGTCGTATCCGTACAGCTGGAGAGCACCCAAGAACTGGTTGAACCGGAGACGCGGGTGCCCAGTGACCTGGGCGACGCCGATGGGAGTGCAAGGAGGCTGGAATGCGGCGGCGATGACCACGCGAGCAACGTGGTCCACGGGAACCATGTTGACGGTGTTGTTAATGTTGGGACGGGAAGACAGCTGGATGCATCCCTTGATCATACGGATGAGGAAGTCATCGGTGTTGGTGGCTAGTGTTTGTATGTTAGCTTGCTTTGGAAATCAATATTCTGGGAGATTGTTTACTTACTTCCGGTCTTGGAGTCACCAAGAACGTAACCAGGACGAACGACGGTTCCCTTCAGACCCCTACGGCCTGCCTCGCGGACCAGGTACTCTCCAGCCCACTTGCTCTGGCCGTAGCCCGTTCCAAGTCCAACGGCACTGCCCTCGAGGTCGTCCTCCTCGCTAATACCCGCTCCACCGGCGGCAACGATGCGCTCGGATTCAGAGACATAGTGGTCGCTGTCAAGAACACTGGTGGAACTGACAAAGGAGAACTGCTTGGGCTTGCCACTAGCGCAAAGCTTCAGAGCATCAATGGTGCCCTGGACGTTGGCCGGCTTAAGGGTAGAGTAAGGGTAGACCCAGTGGACAAGAGCACCGTTGTGGATAACGGCATCCACACGCTTGGTCAAGTCATCCCAGAGAGCATCCGAGAAACCGAAGCGGGGTTCACCCAGGTTACCGCAAACACACTGCAGTCTGCTGGTCCAGGCCTCATCCCAGAAGCCGTAGGCGCGGCAGGTGGAGCGGATACGTTCGAGTGCCTGCTCATCGGTCTTACCACGAACCAGGGTCACAACCTTGGCCATGGGCGACTTGCGAGTGAGGAGGTCACGAAGGATATGCGCACCCAAGAAGCCAGTAGCGCCAGTCAGGAAGATGGTTGGCTCACTGGACAGAATAGGCTCGGTACGCGTGGGGAAAGAGGCGGGCAACGCGGTCTCTGCCAGCTTCCGGGCATCCTTCGAGTATTCGTCGTCAAGCTCATCAGGGGTAGCTGAAGCATCCGCCTTAGCAGCGGTACTGTCATCATTGCTGGCGAAAGACTCGAAGTTCTGCAGACGATCGATCTCGGCGGCAAATCCCCTGAGGGTCGGGCTACGGAAAATGGCGTTCATGCTAACGTCAATTCCGCGCCACTTGCGGCGGATGTCGAAGAACATCTGCTGGGCCAGGATACTGTGCCCTCCAAGGTCGAAGAAGGAGTCATCGGGTCCAATCATGCGAGCAGTAAGGTTGGGGATGCGGGAGGCCCAGATTGAAGCCAGCGCCTGCTCGGTTTCAGAGAGAGCCTGGACCACAGATGACTTGCGACGAGGAGCCGCGGCACTAAGCTCTGCGGTATCGGGGAAGGGTAGCGCAGGCTTGTCGATCTTGCCGTTAGGGTTGAGGGGCATGCGCTTGAGGGGGATAAACACCGTCGGCACGGCGTAGGAGGCGAGCTTGGTCCGCAGCAGGTCACGGATGTCGTCACGAAGAGGACGGAACCGTCTAAGCATGCCGACCATTCCTTCAGCAGAGTCATCGTCCTCGAGGCCCTTCTCCTGCAGCCAAGCAGCCCACTTGCTCATGTCCGGCACGAAATAACTAACCAGAGTCCGCTCCTCGAACTTGTCACGACGCACCAGGGTGACGTTCTCTCTCACCAGGGGATGGCGAGACAGGTGGGTATCAATCTCACCCAGCTCGATACGGAACCCACGGATCTTGACCTGATCATCTGCACGTCCCGAACACTCGACATCTCCCGAAGGAGTGTAACGACCAAGGTCACCACTGCGGTACAAGCGATCTCTAGGGCCTTGGTAGAACTGCCTCCAGGGCTCGTTCGCGCTGTCTGCCTTGGCCTGGTCCTTCTGGACCCAGGTCTGGTTATCAACAAACCAGTTGTTGAGGAACTTCTTCTGGTTCAATTCAGGCGAACCCAGGTAGCCTTCAGCGAGACCACCGGCACGGACGTAGATTTCACCAACTTCACCGATGGCGCAAATGCGGCTGGGTTCGAAGCGGTTAACAACCAGCATCTGAACGTCGAGCATACCCCGACCTGCCGGGATGACGTCCTTCATGGTGTCCAGGTAGCCCTCGTCGCTCGAGTAGCTCGGGATCTCGAAGTAACTAACCGCACGCTGTGTCTCCGTCGTTCCGTACATGTTGACGATGTTGACATTGGGAGCCAAGCCCTGCAGAGAGCGGCAGTCTCGCTTGATCAGGATATCACCGACAAAGAAGGCGTGGTGAAGCGAGGGGAACTGTGCCGAAGCACCGCCGACGAGAATCTGACCCATGGCAGGGGTAAGGTGAGTGACAGTAGCTCCATACTCGCGCATCCACTCGGCAAGCCTTTCGTTCTGAATATCCTCCCGGGCAGGAACCAGCAGCTGAGCTCCCAGGAAAAGAGGGGTGAAGATATCTCTTTGGATCGGGTCATGAGCGATACCGCTGAGCATGGTAAACCGATCGTTGGGGGTAAGCTTGAAGGTCTCGGACATCCATGGGAAGTAGTATGCGAGAGAAAAGTGACGACCCTTGACACCCTTGGGCCTGCCCTCCGAGCCAGAAGTGAAGGACAGAGTCGGGGTGGAGTCAGGTCCGACGACGACGCCAACAGACTTGGCTTTCAAAGGAACTTGGTTGGCCAAGACATCCTGGCCGTTGATCGATCCTCCGACAAGGGAGCCATCGTCGCGAAGGGCCAGGGCAGGCACTTCCGTGCGCAGCTCCAGGTTCTCATTGATGAATGAGCGGACCACGTCGGAGAGCTCACCGGCATCCTTAGTGGCCTTCTCAATGTTGATTAATGCCCGAGGGCGAGCCACATCAAGGTAGATGCACTGTCTTTCCGGGGGGTAGGCAGGGTCAATGACCGAGAAGGTCGCGCCAGCCTTCAGGATACCCATAACGGCTACCACCAGGTCAACACCACGGTAAGCGTACACCATGACGACCTCTCCTCTCTCCACACCCGCCTGGACCAGATGATGGCCCAAAATATTGGAGGCCTCATTGATTTGCTTGTAGGTGAACTCCCGGTGAGGAGACCGCTCCGACTTGGTCTCCACTACACAGAGTCTTTCGGGGTGCTTCTCAGCGTTAGCGGCGAAGATGTCGTGGATAGCACCGCGGAAATTGGACCAGTTCAAATCGGAGGTCGGGTCCGGAAGCAGGGCCAGTTGATCCTCGGTCATGAAGTCAATGCGCCCAATTGCTTGTTCCGGGTTGCTGGTCGCATTTTCGACCAGACGGGCCAGCTGCTTGAGGATGGTGGAAATTCTCGAACTGGAGAAGAGTCTCTGGTTGTAGTAAGCTCCCAATTCCGCCTGGGTTGTGGAGCCATCCGATGCACTGATCGGAGCAATGTTGACAACGAGATCAGTTGTCTCGAAGGTGTTGGCAGGGTAATCCTGAGAGGCAGCAGGGGCATCGTAGGCAGCAAAGCGGAAGAGGACGGGAGAGCGTTCAGATTGAGACTTTTCTTGAATATAGGATCGTAGACTGCCCAGAGGTACGATCTCGGCCGAGCCTTGCTCGAATGCCTAGGAAAGAGTTAGAGGAGCTACAACGATGATATACGCCACCTTAATTTTTGTCATACCTTCTGGACCTTGGTGTACAGCTGCAGGAAGGTTTCGGATGCCTCGATTGGGACTCTCAGGACGAAAGGACGACCATCGTCGCTGGAGCTGGTTCCGACGGCAATATCCTCGTCACCGGTAAGGCGTGCAACGAGCACAATGAAAGCCGTCAGGAAGACAGTGAATCCGGACGAAGAGCCAGAGATCTTCTGCAAGTCCGATTGCGTCTCCTTGGACAACTGAATCGACTCAAAGGCTTCAATTGCCCTCTTGGGAAGCTCCTGCTTCTGGTTGTCGGGATAGTCTCGGGTGAGGGGAGACACTGTGAGGTTCTGGAGTCTTTGAGCCCATCGCTCGAGGCGCTCCTGCAAGGAGACTGATTCGACAGCCATTGTTACAGTTGCGATGCCCTTGTAAGTGGGGGGATGAGGGACGTCAACTGCACTTGGCGGAATATGAAAGGTCAGTAGGGAATTAGGGAATTTAATTGGAATTGAAGATGGGAAGAGCAGCGATCGACGATGAGTCAAGAGGGGCACGCGAGAAAAAGTGCCGATGTCGGCTGCAGCCCACCAGACAGTACTAGTTTTAGTAGCCTGAGGTTTCCTTGCCTTTTTCTCCCCACAATTTGAGAGGATCATTTCGATGGTTAGGATCTCACCGCCTCTCCGGTACTTTCAACAGAATGTAATGATACACTGACCGCTTTTTCCATCTGCACCGCCACACGCGGCGGTGGCTTACCACCCATTCTGTTCAACAACTGGGCCTCTTTATCCACTTGGAATGGAGACACGGTCGTATCGCTGACTTACCCGCTTGGGTCTAGGCTTCTGAACCCCTTCCAGGCACTTCCGCATTGGGTTGATCAGGAACAAAGTGCAACGCTGCCTTCAGTCTATGCTTCCAATCCTGCTTGAGGTGCTTCAGGTTGTCAACTTCTCACTCTCGCTTGCCATGGGTTAATAGACGTGTCTCTGACGTCTCTTTCACACCTCATTTTTCTTCCTATTATTATATTACTCCTTCGTTCAACAACCTTCACTCCTTCAGTTTCATCCCCTAACCCCCTAAAGACATTGACCGTAATACCTAGTTTATTACTTACCGTTCGTTTCCTACCCGCATTGGGACAGGCAGAAGCCTCACAGAAGAACATCCGGTCAATTTCTCACATTTGACTTGGACGGCCAGAACTTCTACTCAGCAGATTTCCCCTGATTTATTCAGGCCTGATTCAGGCCGTGCATCCTCGATCAAAATGATCCCTCATCGGAGCACGGCTCTCATTACCATCGTCGTCTTTGTCGCCCTTGTCTTGGTTATCTTCTCCTCCTCTCCAGTAACCGACCCATCGACTGGCGAAGAAGTCTCCGGTCCGGCCAAATATGTCCCTCACCCGAAACTTCCTTCGTTAAATAACCTGCATCTGCCATCGTTTCACCCGACAGTGCATACCCCTCCGGAACCGCAACCCAACAGCACCAGCGGCGAGTCCAAGTGGTTCAGCGACTGGTCGTGGATCAACCCTTTTTCGTCATCTATCACCCTCGATGAAAACCGTTCCGTCCTCCCTCCTCTTAGAAACCGCCCATTCATCTACACGTACTACGAGCCCAACAAAGGAAACGACCGGGAGGAGGATAATGCGGACGCGCAGCTGCTTCTCGCCTGGCGCAGGGCTTGGTTTGCGCAGGGTTTCCGCCCCGTCATTCTTGGCCCTGGGGAAGCCATGAACAATCAGCTTTACGAGCTTGTCCAGCCATTGAGTCTGAAGCCGGAGCTTGAAAGTGAGCTGTTCCGGTGGCTAGCCTGGGGTCACATGGGTGATGGTATGCTTGCGGATTGGCACTGCTTTCCCATGGCCCGATACGATAATGCTCTTCTCACTTATCTGCGTCGGGGCACTGATCCCGCCCTTATCACCCGCTTCGATGGCTTCGGGAATGCTTTATTCTCTGGGGAGAAGTCGCGTATCAACGATGCAATCAAGGAAGCTATGAACAAGGTGGATGACAAGTCCACCTCTCTGATCGATCTTCTCCCGACCGAGTTCTTCAAGGTGGAAGAGCCTAGCGCTTTGGCTCTGTATGACTCGGCTGCCATTACTAGCCACTACCCTACGGTTGCTGAGAGGATTGTCTCTTCGCCTACTGCTGGGCGATTGGCCTTGGCTGAGTTGATCAATGCCCACTTGCACAACACTTTCCAAAACTCCTTCCCTGCAGGCGTTGCTGTCTTGAAACCATTTCCCGAGCATACTACGGCTCTGGTGGAACCGTCCCTACGGCTTGCCAAAGCCCTGGTGCAATGTCCTAGTTCTCCCGTTCCCCGCTCGTGCCCTCCGAACTCGCCGAAATGTCATCCCTGCGATGCTGAAAAGCCCATGCAGATCAGCCAGCCAGCGACCTACAGGAATACGACCCAAGTTTTCACGATCGGGACTCTACCTCATCCTTTTACCCTCATTAGTCTGCAGCAGGATTCCACCGAGGTCACAACGCGGCACATTCGCCGCGAGACAGACCGTGATGTATGGTTGGCCGAAGTGACCAAAGAGCACCTCGGTACTGACATCGGCGGTTCCGCGAGAGCTGTTGTGTTTAAGAGAGCCGTTGCCGATGACGCCGTTGTAGGCACCTCGCTATGGATGACTGTCGAGTCGCTGCCTCCTCAGGCCGGGCAGTCTCTCCCGTCAAAGCTCTTGGACGAGTTTGAGTGGCAGTTTGGTTTCAAGATCCCTCGTGATGGCAAGGTCGATGCAAAGAATGAAGAAGAGAAGAAGGAATCCGTCCAACAGGCCAACCCGAGTGAGCAAGGTGTTGAGAAGGAGTACGGAATCCTGAAACAGGCACGAGAGTACCTGAAGGGCAAAGATACCAACCGAATTGGTATTACTGATGTGGCAGAGGCCTGGAACTTGGCAGACACGGAAGTCTGGCGGTTCGTGAGAGCATACCGGTAAGCACACCGACACAGACCTCCACATTTCTAGCGTTCTAGTCCTTTCCTTGTGACGGGACCGAAAGGAAAGCCCGAAGATTGAATGATGTGAGCTAACAAGTCATTAATTTGCAGTGCGCGCAGCGTCGTAGAACGCAAGAAATGGGAGGAAGAAGAAAAGGACTTCATTGGAGCCAAGCCAAAAGTATAATTAATGTCTTTTCTTATCGCTCATACTTATAGACATGTTATCGCTAGTACCTGTTGGTGTACATTGCTTCTCTTCGCTTGAACCGTCTATTTACTATCTTGGCCTGGGTGGCTTCGGCCAGAGCATTGGGAGCGGCGTTAATCGATACCTATTCTTCCTTTCTTGCTGTTGGTACTAGGCCCGCAATCTCTTACTATATACTATATTGCTTTGCTATTTCCATTTCCCAGGAATATAATCGAGACTCTACTAACTAGATCGTATAGAGTACTCACCACTAGTACTAGTTGGTTCACCGGGCACCAGTGAGAGTCGCCAGATTAGTGATCAGATAACATCTGCCGTAGGTTACCGCCCATCGGACAGTGGCGATCGCCGCCGGGCGGGCCATCGATAGCCAGCGATAACCGCAGTGGGGAGGCAACGATAAGCTTGTCCATGACTCCATTTCCTTGGTTAGCTTATGCCGGGGAGGAACTTCACCCCTTTCTATATCCTTTTGCCACCATAAGTTTTATAGTAATATTCATTTACATTCTGAACAAATATTGCTCTGAATACCTTCATGGATCCTATTCTATTCCAAATTCGAATCAACTGAATCACAATCACACAACCGGCCGGTCTTGGCGTCCGCTCATCTCGGCGGGGAATTCGACTTTCCGCATTTGAGCTTCAGGAAACAAGATGGCCCCAGGCATTTTAGAATCACCAAAGCCAACGGTGGCTGCCAGCAAGGCTGTCACCTTGGCTCAGCTCACAGAGGATTGGGATGACACTATTCGTTTCTATCTAAACGGTACAAAGGTCGTTCTCGACTCGATCAATCCTGAAGTCACGCTATTGGAGTATCTGCGGGGTATCGGCCTGACAGGCACCAAGCTAGGGTGTGCGGAAGGTGGTTGTGGTGCTTGCACAGTGGTATGTATCCAGGTCATTCTATCGGTATTCAGGTTCATGTTGACATGAAACAGGTTGTATCGCATTTTAATCCGACGACGAAGAAGCTTTACCATGCCTCAGTCAACGCTTGTCTCGCCCCCTTGATCAGTGTAGACGGGAAACATGTTATAACCGTGGAAGGTATCGGCGATGTGAAGAATCCCCATGCTGTTCAACAACGGCTTGCGGTTGGAAATGGAAGTCAGTGTGGTTTCTGTACGCCGGGTATTGTCATGGTATGCTCTTCGAGGGCTGGTGTGGTGGGACTAAGCTAACGAATCTACAGAGCCTCTATGCCCTCCTACGTAATAACTCCGCGCCGACCGAACACGACGTCGAAGAAGCATTTGACGGGAATCTCTGTCGTTGCACCGGGTACAGGCCCATATTGGATGCTGCTCAGAGCTTCACCGCTCCCAAGGGCTGCGGGAAATCCCTGGCCAACGGTGGAACAGGTTGTTGCATGGATAAGCGGGACGGTGCTGGGGGTTGCTGCAAGCAGTCATCGGCAGACACCACAGATGGAGATGCACCGAAATTCACGCCGCCCGATTTTATCGAATACAGTCCGGGCACGGAGCTGATTTTCCCGCCTCAGCTCCACAAGCACGAATTTCGACCTTTGGTCCTCGGGAATAAGAAAAAGAAGTGGTACCGTCCGGTCACCCTTGAACAATTATTGGAGATCAAGGCTGTACACCCCGATGCTAAAATCATCGGAGGAAGCACGGAGACACAGATTGAGGTTAAGTTCAAGGCGATGAGGTACAGTGCCTCTGTCTACGTCGGTGATATTCCGGAACTACGTCAGTATTCGCTCAAGGACGACCATCTCGAGATCGGGGCAAATGTCTCCTTGACCGACCTCGAATCAATCTGTGATGAAGCCCTCGAGCGCTATGGGCCGTTGCGAGGCCAGCCGTTCAACGCCATCAAGAAGCAACTCCGCTATTTTGCAGGAAGGCAAATCCGCAATGTCGCGTCACCAGCAGGAAACCTGGCTACAGCATCTCCAATCTCTGACCTGAACCCGGTCTTTGTGGCTACCAACACTGTCCTTGTAGCCATGTCATTGGGTGAAGTTATTGAGATTCCTATGAGCCAGTTCTTCAAGGGCTATCGATCCACTGCGCTCCCGCCTAATGCTATTATCGCTTGTTTACGGGTCCCAGTTGCGTCCGAAACGGGAGAATATCTGCGTGCCTACAAGCAGTCGAAGCGAAAGGATGATGACATCGCAATAGTGAACGCAGCTTTGCGCGTCTCACTTTCTCCTTCTCATGATGTGCAGAGCGTAAATCTAGTCTTCGGAGGGCTGGCCCCAATGACCGTGTCCGCACGCAATGCAGAGGCCTTTTTGGCTGGCAAGAAGTTCACCAACCCTGCTACCCTTGAGGGTACCATGGGTGCTTTGGAGAAGGATTTTGACTTGAAGTTCGGTGTTCCTGGGGGTATGGCGACTTACAGGAAGTCTCTCGCCTTGGGATTCTTCTACCGGTTCTATCACGATGTATTGTCTTCCATCCAGGTCACGGAGGCAGATGTTGATGAAGATGTCATTGCCGAAATTGAAAGAGCCATTTCATCCGGTGAGAAAGACCACGAGGCTTCTGCAGCATATCAACAGAAGATTCTCGGAAAGGCTAGTCCTCATGTCTCTGCACTAAAGCAAGCTACCGGAGAAGCACAGTACACCGATGACATGCCTTTGATGAAGAACGAGCTTTACGGCTGCATGGTTCTTTCGACCAAGGCACATGCTCGTATCCTGAGTGTGGACACTTCAGCAGCTCTCGATATTCCTGGCGTTGCTAATTACGTGGATCACACCGATCTCCCTAACCCCAAAGCCAATTGGTGGGGAGCTCCAAATTGCGATGAAGTTTTCTTCGCGGTTGACGAGGTCACGACTGCTGGTCAGCCCATTGGTATGATTCTTGCAACGTCGGCCAAGATCGCGGAGGAGGGTGCGAGAGCGGTCAAAGTAGAATATGAAGAGCTACCAGCAATCTTGAGTATGGAAGAAGCCATCGAGGCTGAATCGTTCTTTGAACACTCCCGCTTCATCAAATGTGGTGATCCAGAGAGTGCTTTCAAAGAAGCCGACTATGTCTTTACTGGACAGTCTAGAATGGGTGGTCAGGAACATTTTTACCTGGAAACTCAGGCTTGTGTTGCTATCCCTAAGCTTGAGGATGGCGAGATGGAGATCTGGAGTGGAACACAAAACCCTACGGAAACGTAAGTCACGGCAACTACCACAAATAAAGGCTTTACTGATTATCCATAGGCAAACATACGTCGCACAAGTAACTGGTGTAGCTGCCAACAAAATCGTGTCTCGGGTAAAGCGCCTTGGAGGTGGCTTTGGTGGCAAAGAGACACGTTCGGTCCAGCTGGCTGGTATCTGTGCCACAGCTGCTGCAAAGGCGAAGTTGCCCGTGCGGTGCATGCTCAATCGCGACGAGGACATTGCTACTTCAGGTCAACGCCATCCATTCTTCTGCCGCTGGAAGGTGGGAGTGACGAAAGAAGGTAAACTGCTTGCATTTGATGCGGATGTGTACGCCAACGGTGGTCACACCCAAGATCTGTCTGGTGCAGTAGTAGAAAGAGCCCTCTCACACATCGATGGAGTGTACAAGATACCGAACATGCACGTCCGTGGTCGTATCTGCAAGACGAACACCGTTTCAAACACCGCTTTCCGTGGCTTCGGCGGCCCTCAGGGTATGTTCTTCGCCGAGTGCATGATATCGGAGGTTGCGGATCATCTTCAGATACCAGTCGAACAACTTCGCTGGCAGAATATGTACAAGCCTGGTGACAAAACCCACTACAATCAGGAGCTGAAGGATTGGCATGTGCCGTTGATGTATAAGCAAGTTATGGATGAGAGCTCGTACGAGGAGCGACGGAAGACTGTGGAGGAGTATAACAAGAAGCACAAGTGGTCGAAGCGTGGAATGGCCCTCATCCCTACCAAGTTCGGTATCTCTTTCACAGCCCTTTTCCTGAACCAGGCTGGCGCACTGGTGCATATCTATCACGACGGAAGTGTCCTGGTGGCTCACGGAGGAGTGGAGATGGGTCAAGGGCTACATACCAAGATGACTATGATTGCGGCTGAAGCTTTGGGTGTGCCTCAATCCAACGTCTTTATCTCGGAGACTGCCACAAATACTGTGGCCAACACATCGTCCACAGCTGCGTCGGCCAGTTCTGATCTCAATGGCTACGCCATCTACAATGCCTGCGAGCAGCTCAATGAACGTCTTCGGCCGTACCGGGAGAAGATGCCGGGAGCACCTATGAAGGACCTTGCTCACGCGGCCTACTTTGACCGGGTCAACCTCTCCGCGCAGGGATACTACCGCACCCCGGACATTGGCTACGTGTGGGGCGAGAACAAGGGCCAGATGTTCTTCTATTTTACTCAGGGTGTGACCGCTGCCGAGGTGCAGATTGACACGCTCACAGGCGACTGGACTCCTTTACGTGCTGACATCAAAATGGACGTTGGCCGTACCATCAACCCATCGATCGACTACGGACAGATCGAAGGCGCTTTCATCCAAGGCCAGGGTCTTTTCACCACCGAAGAGAGTCTATGGCACCGGGCCTCGGGACAGATCTTCACCAAGGGACCCGGTAACTACAAGATCCCTGGATTCCGGGATATTCCCCAGATCTTCAACGTCAGTCTGCTAAAGGATGTGGAATGGGAGAACCTGCGCACTATCCAGCGATCTCGTGGTGTCGGTGAGCCGCCGCTGTTCATGGGCAGCGCCGTCTTCTTTGCCATCCGCGATGCGCTTAAGGCAGCGCGCCAGCAATGGAACGTGCAGGAAGTGCTGCGACTAGAGAGTCCAGCGACTCCGGAACGGATCCGGGTCAGCTGCGCTGATCCGATTATTGAAAGGGCGCGCGTAGTGCCAAAGGAGGGTGAGAAGAGTTTCTTTGTAGCGATATAACCAGCATGATAAGATACCAGTACTATCAATTAGTTTACTGGATGTAATGACTGCATGAATACAATATTTATTCCACCTTGACCTCTTCAATAACAACAGTAATAATCAGAGTCAGACACACCCCTTTCCCCATATCCATAAATACCTGGTATTGGTGACTGGATCGCTTGTATATACATCGGTTTGCCTGCAGCAGTGAAGTTCTTACTGGTCCAAAATGAATTAGGTGTATGTCACAAACACGTGTGTGCGTGTGTGCGTGTGTGCGTGTGTGGGCGAGTTGGCTTTCTACCGCTGCTAAGAAATACCGACAGGGACTGTTTGGGATCTGTAAGAATCACATGTTCTATTACGGAGTAAAAATGGGTATGAAAAGAGTGTATCGAGTTGGGATTATGGTCTATGGGTATATGGTAGACGTTCAAGGAAAGTGCGAGGGA